TAGGCCCTGTCTTCCATATTTCTGGTTAGTCTCACTGGTCTGTACTGGAATTCTGCAATCTGTCTAATGGACAGGTATTATTCCTGGGATGTTACATCCAAAATTAGAAACAGTGTTTTGATAATGCCTTATTTATGATCAGCAGAACAAAATGATTACAAACCCATTCTTAAAGATAAATAGGAGGGCTCCTTCGTTCACTTTGAGAGAAAGCTTAGCTAATATTTGAGTCGGATAAACTGGCAATACCACAGAGATTAATAAATTCTAGTAGGATGAATGTCATGATAAAAGAAAGAGGGGTATAATAAGTCCATTTGAATGACCACATAGAGGAGCAAATTTTCACATCTAACTGGCACAGGTGGCAAAGTCTGCAGTCTGCTCCTCATGTGCAATAAGTAATGTCAAGCTTGCTCTTTGGATTTTTGGTATAATACTTACATTTTAAGCTAAGCGTTAGTCTTTGGTTTTATATGCAAGTAAAATGAAGACTTTGATCTCATTCAAGGTGCAAAGAGTTCTGCTGATCTGGAGAGATGAGTCAGAAGTGACTCATAACCTGGGTTTTGGCAAGGTATTTAGAAAATGCACAAATAACAAGGTGAATGGTAGGAATAATTTGAAACATGATGCTCTCTCACTGTTACTTAAAGGCTCTATTGGTTTAATGTTACACATTTCTATTTTTCTGAAACCTCACAGATAAACCAGAAGGCAGAAGATTTCTCCTCTGTATAAAATTTTTACTCTCTTTACTTAGATATCAGTAATGGTAACATTCTGCCAGGTAATACAGCCTTTGTAGTAGAACCTATCATAGACACCAGTTGCTAGCACCTGTGATCTCTTGAAGTACAGAGATCAAAAGATGACTCACAGTGTACAGATTCCAGAAGAAACCTTCAGGTCAAACATTTCTGATTATGTTGTGCCCTTTTTAAAGGGTGTCTGTAGTGTCACATAGAACCAAGTAAGTGTCAATCACTTAAATACATTAAGCATCCATTATTCAGTATCCTGACTGTATCACAACAATAGCATTTAAAATCAGCCAATTTCTGGACAGATGTTTCAATCTCAGTACCAAAGGAAAACAGTTTCTTCTTTATCGGAACCACTTGCTATAGTTTAATGCTATTATTATAAACAAGCAATTGCTACTTTACTTTTTTTTTTTGAGAGCATTGCAGATAACAGAAATGAGACTAACCAGAAGTATTATTTCAAGTCTAAGCCAGAAATATCTTAGAGAAACGAGAGTAACAAATTGACAACAAAACCATTGAGACAGATTGCTCAGTTAAGAGTTATGTATTTATTAGCTGGATTCATAAGGACGTGGGGGGTGTTCACTATGCCAGGAGGGTCACTGCCAACTAGAAAGTCAAGTGCACTGGAATGTTTATCCTATGCAGCTTAGTCCATAAGCTTTCTTTCCTCTGAAATACAAGACATTATTCTTTCTCATTTCGCAGAGGACAAAAGTACTAATTGCTTATGGCCCTATTAAATTAAGATCAGATAGGGACCAGTTAATGGTTGTGTTCTTTTGCCAGCTTCACGTCTGAGAATCTGCAGTATGATTTTTATAGCAAGTTAAAGGCTTACTTCAGAAGATACTGAAAGGAAAATTCTTCATGACAAAAATGAAAGCAGTTCATTACCTCATTTGCCTTAACACAGACATGAAGAAGCATGTTGTCCAGAAACACAGTTCTGAAGAAAGCTGGAGGAAAAAAAAGCAAAATAAAACACTGCCTTTGTCATACTTTTTGTACCTTATTTAGTCAACTTCATATATTTATTTTCTCTCATCTAATCTTTACTGGCCACAGAAAAATGAATTTTCTTAAACTTGCATCACAACTTAAGTTATGACAATTGTAACTTTAGTAGTAGTATAATTTAGTTTTCATTTCTATTTTCATTTCATTTCTAACAATCCAAATAATCTGACTTACCAAAGATATCCTGTTTCCATATTCTTTTGAAGACAATGAGCTGGCTTGAAACAATAAGCAGTGTCTTTCTTCTGAACAAGAACATATCGTCTATATGTGTGTGTATGCCATCCGTACGTCTCCTTTCTAATTCTCATCACCTAAGCTAATTCAATCCTTTTACTTTAAAACTTGTCTCACAGACTGGGATTCCCAATCTCTTACTCACCAGTGTATGAGACACTTCCAATTCTGCACCTCTCACACCTTCTCAAATATTTTTTGGACAAAAGGGAAAGTACTGCCCTGGGAATGTTAGTGCCACACACTGGATTACCTCAAATTCTGTGTATACTTTTAGAGAAACCAGAAACCCAGCCTCAACTATGCCTGCCCAGGAGGAAGCACTAAAGCTAAAAAGTGAGCTCTTGAATTCTGCTAACTCCTTTTGTTGATTCACCTGCCACTGGTTGTGGTTAAAATTGAATGTGAGAAGTACAGAGAAGAAATGGTTCTATGCAGAAAGCAAATCAGGTCTTGTGCAAACTTTGTTAATTTGGACTTACCTTAGGTAACTGTACACCGGTCCTTTCATTTTGAATCTCAGACTCACCATCTAACTTTGTCATGGAGGAAAAACTCAAGTGAAGAGGATCCAAGTAGTTCATTTTGACTAGTTTAACACCACCATAACATCCAGAGGTCTCCAGAGGCATGGAGGGAATTTGGTCCTTACAGAAAACTTTGTAGTCTAGTTCTGTATGCACTGTATGCATAGGAGCAAGTAATCCAACATACATTGTAAAAGAAGGCAATGAGGAGATGGGAGACTCTTGATAGGAAAAGGGCTGAAGACTTTACTTAAACGTGAGAATATTATCCACAAAATGTATATCTACTGTAACAGCATAAACTTCAGTGTAGGCTAATTTGGCCTACTTCTTGAGAAAAAAAAAATGCAGTGAACGTTGCTTTTAGAAAGTATTTAGAAAGCTTTTGTGTGTTTTTCTGTGCTCCTTAGCATCCCTTGGTAGCTGTGAATTGAAGTGTGATCACAGATTTAAATTGGTTGTGATTTCTCAGTGGGTTGTTACCAGAATAAGAGTTATATGCCTTATATGGATGTATATTATTGTTGACATTCAAATGACCCTCAATCAACATTCAAATGACCCTCCATTACCGTTTTTGAAAGATGAAGACACCTCCAGTTACAGTTACATCTACTTCTGCAAACATGCCCTGAACAAACCTTTGATGACATTTGTACATTCTTTTCCCCTTGCTCTTAGAGTAACAGTTAGTCACATATTATGTATACATACGTAACAGACATTTCAAGGTGGATTTTGAATACATTCATAGCTCATAAACGTATCTTTGAAGCAAGCTATTGTAACTTGAAAATATCTAACTGGAAATACATATTAGCTTTACAGTTTATTAAACACTGAGGTTTGCTACTGGTTTCTGAATTTAAAAATTGCTTCAGTATGTCTAAAGAGTTTAAGGGAAACCTGAGATAAAGTTGCTGGCAAAGTTTTCACCAGATATAAATGCTGCCAATGCTTTAGTAAAAGATAAAATGTTTTTTTTTTTACCTTCTTATTCCTTCTTTATATTAGTTTTTAATAATTTTTTAAAGGAAACTAAATGGAAAACTGTTATGTAAAATAATGTAACAGTAACTTTAGACAAGCCCATTTGCATCTTTTTTTCAGTCAAAGCAAAATGAAACTAAACAGTATTAAAGTGATTTTTTTATATACAAACACATAGGCTAAACACAAAATGCTGAGAATACAGCATACTGAAACAAGCATAATATCTGTAGTCTTCAAATTATCTGTTAGGAAAATATATGAACAAGAAATGTGAAATACAAGTGAATGATCAATAAGTGCCAGCTTCAATAGTGCAACATTTTATTAATGACAGAAATATCTGGTTTTAACACTGTTCGTGTTACAAAAAATGCAGTGATAGTAATAATGGCAGCAAAGGGGGATTTGGCACTGAATATATAAAATAGCAAAAGCACATCTCAGTGGTCTTCTAAATGGATCAAAAAAAGCTTATTAGTGGAAAATAAAAAAAGAATTCCTTTCAGTTATTTAAACTGGCCAATCAAAAAACAGAATAAAAATTTGTTTGTGTAAAATAGTGCAATACAATTTACACAAGGTTATCTTAGGAATGTTACCTTTTTTCAAGTCAACTGATGTAAATGTAAACACAAATATGCTAAGATACATTTAGCAACTGCACACGTGTGCATTTGTTTTTATTCAATTCAACTGCACGGCATATAAATGTTTAGTACTAAAAGGTGCACTTTTAAAACTAGCTTTATTTGTGGCTTGCTTACATACTTGTAGCCTAATTTATGCTCTTCTCTCCCCCCAGCCCCAAATTAGACCTACAATGGTAGTGTTCCTAAAAACACATTTGTGTGGAATGTCTAAGTTCCTTATTTAAAAAAAATCAACAATTGAAAATGTAATATAGTACAGTGATGCTTTTCTTACTATTACGCTTTACACGAAGTTTTCATGTTCTGCTTTCCATATGTATATTTCAGGATGTACATCAAACTTGAAGGCAATATAAGCTATGTCTGTGATGGGAGAAAAAAATGTGGGGCATATTAAAACACACTAGCTATTTTAAAACAGTAGTTTATGTCTGTCTTTTTTAAAATAAAAAAAAAATCCTTAATTCTCCTGAAGTTTTACATACAAAGAATAAATGAAATACGAGCTTATTTTCTTAAAATTTAATACTGGAAATTGGTGCAAGATAAAAATCTATGATGTGGTTGACTTGTTTTTAAACAGGAACCTGAGTAAGGGCATATAGCATTATGACTAGAAGAATAAAATTCCATAATAATTTAAGTAGCTGAACAGGTTTTTAATGTTCTACCACAAAACAGCAAGGCAACAGATGATAATGGCCTCGTATTCAATGAATTATCATGAACACCCACTGCAAACCTGAATATTTTCTGCAAAAATAAAACATCAGATTATGCACAATAATAAAAAGCATCAGAAATAGATGCACCTGGTTTTTTTTTTTTTCCTTTTTTAAACCACAAATATCAGAATTCAGCATTTATGTCACAGTCCTTGAACAGTTGCTCTGAGATGACTACATTAAGCACACTACTGCACTAAGTAGACACCCCACAACAGGCTGGCACTGCAACAGTAACATAGTTTTCATATAGGCACAGACTTTTTCTCATTCATGTTTAAAAACAACATGAAATAAACAACTGAAGACAATATTAGGATTCATCCCATGTTTCCTTATTAGCAAAAAGTTCTTGCCACTTTGGTAATTGAAGTCACTGAATATTTTTAAAAATTGCAGGTACCTCAAGGAAAACAAGAGTTCCAGATTCAGCAAGGCAGCATTATATCAGGATATTTTATACCAAATAAGGCATAAAGAACTTTGCATCAGGGTATACAATACTCAATCTTTGAATAAAGTTTCATATTCTGTGTGGCGAAAGTGCATAGGAGTGGGATTCCACTAGAGTAGAAAGAATCCTCTCACAGTATTAAGGCCTTTCAATTTTATGTGAACTGTATCAGGCTAAAGTCAGCACAGTGGAAAAAAAAATAGGCTATCATCATACTGGACACCACTGAAGTTTTCTTAGCATGTCTTATCTTCTCCTACTTGTCGTTCATCATCTTCATCAGCTTCCTCAATAACCTGAATTTCATCTGCTTGAGGTAAAGATGAGATCTCAGTCAGCAGTTTAGCTCCTTCAGCTTTATTTTTTTCTTCCTCTTCAATCACTTTCTTCCATATTTTGTGATTTTCGCTGAGATGGTGTATTAGCTGGCAAAATATTCGTCTACCTTTTTTTCTTTGCGCTTCTGTAAAATTATAAGCATATTTGATTGTTTAAGATTCAAAGTAATTGTATTTTGCACATACAAAACCAATGGCACATTGTAAGAGAGATGTAAATTTGAGCAAAACACATGGATGCTTGTTCAGAATATTTAGTGACATGGCAAAGGAAAACAATGAGTTTCTGTTTCAAATTGCAAGTCTGCTGGTGTTAACAAAAATTTTATTAAAAGAGTAAAATTTATGAAGCAGCATAATGGGAAAAATCTACAATATTTGTACTACACAGTTTCAACCATCATTGCTATGTCTGAATCTATTAAATGACAACCATATGCACCAACTGAAATACAGAAACTTACTTAAAATAAGATCATCTTCCATTTCTTCATCATCGCTCTCTAGCTGTGCTCCATCATCATCATCAGTACTTTCTGCATCCTCCTCCTCTTCATCAATCCATTGCCCTGGAAGCAACCCAGCTGCATTATAGGAATTACAAAGGGGGCCAACTATGTGAGTGATGAAAGATTCTTGCAGTTTTGCAAGCTGTGGAGAAGAACGATCCATGAAGGGGCTTATAGGTAATCCAAGACTTGCTTCTTCATCACCCTGAAAAATAAATGAAAAAAATATCAGAACTTCTCACAAAATTAACTTTACAATTTTATTTTAAAGATTACTTTTAAGGAATCAAGTAACCATCACATGGATTGTATCTTTTTACTGGAGGCAATAATAGCATAGACTAAGTGAATGAAAACGTAATTAGGCCAGTTTAAAACAAGGACACATTACGGCTCGGACTTGCATAGCCCATAATCCTCCCTTCAGCTTTGCTGCGAGATACCCCTGTGCATGCATGGAGACCTAGTTCTACTGGAGCTGCTATTCCCCTGCCTTTACAGGACGGCTTCAGGGTAGGCAAAGATTTGACTTCAATTGCTGAGCTGATGAACAGAGAAAATAGGAAAGTAATCAGCTAGAGTAAGGCATTCTGGTAAATGGCTTCCCCCAAAAGTCCTAGAAGAATGACATGAACTATAATACCCAGAAAAAAGTGGTTTGCTTTTGTGTTTCTTCCCATTTTACAAATAGCAGAAGAAAAAATTGAATAGTTGCCTGTACACAACTCGAGTTGTAATCACTCGTGTCAGCACTTCTGTGGACCCAACAGTTTTACAAAAAAGTTTTTGCTAAAGGAGCACCTTAGAATACTAAGGTCTTACAGCAATTGTAAGCACTTCAGATTAGTGCTACTGCTTAAATTTCCCAAGTGATTTTGTTGTTTACCTTTATCTTCCTAGTTTGAAAAAATATTTTTCAGTCCTTGGTTGTTGCCTTAAATAGTTAACACCTCAGAAACTCGACTACACAAAAATAAGAGAGTAGAAATGTAGAATATATTTTGGGGGGCTTACAGAAGTTGTAAAAATAGGCAACAAATTTTCAGTCTTTTTTGCAGTTAATCTTGATAGAATTATTTATCAAAGATCCACTGTAAAAATCTTATTTACATTTTAATACTGTTAGTTTTTAATGTCTATTTTTAATATTTAATTTTGAAAGTTTTGAAGTATCTTCTGTCTTTGGACTAAGAATTAGCTGAATATACATTTCCAGTCTTGTGGATTCTATACCTATTATTTGACCTGGAAACATACCAGTGAACTTAACTTCCCAAAAGTGGAAGAAGTTATTTTGGTTTATCAGCATCATCCTAAGAAAAGAAAAAAAAAAAAAAAAAAGAAAATAAACTAACATCTGAAAAATGGACAACACTGGCAGGGAGCTTGTTTTCAAGCTTCTAATATAATTGATAGGAAGTAAAAGACCTGAAGATTTAACACAAGGAATAATGTTTAATTAAGTTATACATTTGGTAATGCAAAGAATTGATCATCTGTCATTAAAAAGAGTAAATTACACTCTCCATACCCACCTGTTCATAAAATTCATTAACAATGCCTTCTGTCCATTTCAGATGCAGCTCTCTAACTTTTGCTGGGCCATTAATATCTGCCAGTTTGATGCATATTTGACAGGCCAGCAGGCGATCATTTTCATTGCTCCATTCTATACCATGACTGTTGATATCATTGACCTGGATTGAGCACACAGATTTTTAAAAATTAAGTTAAAACTATTAATCAATTTTTTTTTTTCCCCAGGCTTTGTACATCAGATGCTTGCATTAATTTTTCTACATAGTTTTTTGTCTTATATAGTAAAAAAAAGTTGTTTACTATCTCTCAGAAGATGGAAATGTGAGATATGATCGAGGTCTCCTGTGGGTCCTTATGTCACATCTGCTAGGCTTATTAGGCAATATACAAAACAATCTATAATTGGTTTGTACAAAGGAAATACTCTATTTGCATTTTTTTAGTAACTTAAATTTAAATAATATAAAACTTCAAATGCAAGTTATTAATACTAACAACTACTGAGTACCAACACTAACATCGGTATATCATGACTAGCTCAGTGCAGGCACTAAAATGTAACAAACCTTGGCATTAAATTCTGCAAGGAAATCAAAATGCTTCTTGAGATCTGTGGCAAGGATTGCTTCAATCACTAAAAAACGAAAACGCTTGAATTCCACATGATCAAGATTTGATAAAAAGTTGTATTCTGGTCGTGATAAGAAAAGATTCCAGGCAGAAGCTGCATGGTGATTTTCTAAGACAGATCTGTCATTGTAGAGAACAGCCTACAAACATACACACAAAAAAAGAAAAATAAAAAAAAGCGAGAATCATAAATGACAGAGTAAAGATTTAAAATTTTAATCATATATTCTGAAGCTCAAGGGCTACTCAGAAACAAATCTTAATTAAAAAAAAAAAAAGAAAGAAAACAACTCTTGGAAATGATGTTTTGCCTTCTAGTTTTGAGGGTTAAAGTGAAACAAAAATGGTAGATGAGAAAAAACAAACCCACCCAAACAACTAGCAAAGTTTTTTCTTCCCTTAAAAGTCCTTAACAATGTCTTAATGACATCTGCATTCATACTGTAGGCACACATACACAAACCACTTAAAATGTAGACCTTGCACTCTTGGTAGTAGGTGTGGAGCACACATACTGACGTAAAAAAAAAAAACAAAAGAACCCAAACCAAACACCAGATTTAAGTATACACTTCTAGTTCCTCTTAATTCCAGTATTGTTTAAAAAAACCCACAAAACACACCACACAAAAAGAACTCCAAAGCATATAAGAACTGTGGTTAATGTGAAATGATGTGGACTATCACTAGTTTTCAATGTACTATGTTTAATGTTGATGAATATATTTTAACTGCAAATGAGTTAACTAAAATATTAAAACAGCCGTAGACTTTACTCACAACTCCCGTGTTTATACAAAACATCCTAGAAAATAATTAATTGAATATAGATTAAATAAGACTTGAAAAAAAATTATTTGGAAAACTGCAAAAATAATCTTTATGTTTTGAGGAAAGGAAGAGATCATTAACAAAATGAATGTGTATATTTTTGAAAACTAGAGATGGATGTCTTTGTTGTTTGTTTCTATTCTTCCTTGTATACTGTTTTCAGTAGAAATACATAACTGCCTACATCCTAACCATTTTTTAGCAATAAGGAATTTTTGAAAACTGATTGGAAAGTTCACTTTTAAAGTCTCCATGTCTTGACAAGTTCTACTGGTTTCTGATTTACTATTATTATTGTTGTTGTTATTAAAGTTTCTTGTCTCTAACTTATTGAGAGACCTAAATAGCCATCATAAATATTCTTCCCCAGATATTATTCCTCTCTTTAGATAAAAATATTTCACCATGCAGGTCAGGCATCGTTTCTTCACTGCTTTTCCTTCCAATTTTTCCCTGCCCTACCTGATTTTTTCCTATCTGCTATTTTGTTTAGCTTTACTCTCCTTTACCTCTTTTGTCTTAGCTTTTTAGACCCTGAAGAGCATAACATCTCCTTTCTTTCTACTCTCTGTTCTAACAACGAAGTTGAATATGGGGGATAAAAGCAAGGATGCCTTGCTGATTTCTTCTTATTTTACTCACCCTCCCTTAAAGTTAATGGCTATTTACCATAAAGGACTAATTTGAAATATAGAGATTAGGTGATACAGTTAATTTGACTATTAGAGGAACCTGCATTTTTACGGTAATTGCAGACAGCACTATGATATCAGAGGACTCCCAAAATGTAAGATATCCATCAAATAGCTGCTTAGACAGTTCTAGGGCCAGCTTTCTATGAAATAATCTTTTACTCTAACCTGCACTGATTTATGTTATTATTTTCAATTTTGTAAATTGAAAATTTCAATTTACATGGCTTTCATACACAAGCAATATGTAAAAAACACATCAACAGGGAAAAAAAAAAAGTATTATACAACTTAAGTACAAATTAATTTCCTCATTTCCAGAACTGGGCAAATGATCCTAAACAGGCTACAGC